TGTCAAAGCGGCAGCGTCCGTATGGGGGCACAGGTTGCCGAGCTCATGCTGGATCGGGCCGTCTAGCTGGACATACACGATATGTACTCGGTAGCTCGCTGTACCGACACGGTGGTTACCGTCCGTCGCAGTTCGCGTGTGTCTTGAAGCGTTTGCTGGCTACTACTACAACTCTGACGCGAGCTCCGCCGAGGACCGACCGCAGCAAGGGTCCACAAACTGTTTATGGACCTTTGTCGCCATCGACGGATCTGCGCGAGGGGTAGGGCAGTCAAACAACCGCCACGAGGCTTATTTATGAAGTTGCGGACGTCAGCTCGCCGCATTCTTATCACAGACACGTCATTACGTTCGTCTGCACAGGACACTTTTGTATTGGCACAGATCCTTTCCGCAATGCATCGGCGCCTCTTGTTGCTCGCTCGCCGCGCAGGAGGCTCGATGCTGGGCACACCATCCGCCACATCAACGAGCCGCAGCGTCGAGCTGAACCAGGCGACACGACCTGATTTGATACCCAACGGGAATAGCGCGGGCCTCGACGGGCGACCCCGTCTTTGCGCGGCAGGTGCGATAGAGCGTCCACGCGGGCGAAACAGGCCCCGTCTTCATCTTTAGTCCGTGGTACATTTAGTCGATGCCCGGTGGCTATACTAGGTAAAGTATCCTGTATGCGACGGCACCTTGAATATATGTTGGGTGTGACCGCCACGCAGCGATCGCGATGAAATTTCAAGCCGCGCCTTTGCGGCCGGGAGGTGTCCTCGGCGTCGCACTTCAAGCTTGTGTCTACAAGATGTCGAAACGTGCATTTCTTTGTCGCGTGTCACCCAAAGACGATCCGCGGGGCTGGCACGCCCAGCTCTTTGTGCTTGGCGCCGGTTCTATTCCCGTTGCCCGACGACTTTTGCTCCAAGATTCATTTTCCAATCCGCTACAAGCTACCCCTTCCTCGTTCCATCACCATGTCGACTCGAACGCTCGACGCGCTCCCCGCGAGCTTTGCCGACGTTCCCCGCGCCGTCGTCAACGCCGGCGGCATCACGGGCTACGTGACCAAGACGATTTCTGTGCACATTTCGTCCAACCCGAGCACCGGCACCAAGCTCTGCGCGTATCTCGCGAGCCTGCTGACGTCGCTCCCGCTTCTCCTGCTGCCACGTATGCTCTATTGTTCGATTTTTGGATTTTTGGATTGTTCACTTTGCACTTGTAGTGTTTGTCGCGCTCAAGAGCGACGGCGACATTGATTGGACGTGGGCCCACACGTTGATCCCGCTCTGGATTCTCGATGCGCTCCTCTTCCCCATCTACTTTCACTTGACGCGCGCGCATGACACGGCCGACACCGTTGTCGACGGCGACATCAACGCCGACACGACGGCGCTGTTGTCGACGACGCCCAAGACCATTATGACCAAGTCCGTTTGCTTGTGTCTTGAGAGACGAGACACTCATGTAGCGATGTGCCGCGTAGGACGCAGATGCTGAGCCTTGTCTTCACGATCCTCACGCAAGTGCTCGTGACGCTGCGCCTCGACGGCCACCTCGCGTGGAAGTGGAGCTACATTTCGCTGCCGTACTGCCTCGTCATGGTCTTTGACCCGTCGATTACGTCCGTGCTGCAAGTCCTCCAGGCCATTTTCGTGGCGCAAAAGCTCGACATGGAGCTCTCGTGGAGCTGGGCGGTCATCTTGCTCCCGACGTGGCTCCCCGCGTTCCTCATCGTCTTTGTCCTCGTACGTCCTTTTTACATGCGACGATGGCCTCATCGCTCTTCTCTCTCGTAGCCCTCGATTGTGTTTGTGAGCATGATGTCGGCGACCGAAGAGAATGCGCAGCCGTCGTTCCTCCGTGCGCTCGTTGCTTTTGTCGGGCTCGTGGTGTCGTTGGGTCTCGTCTTCGGGCCGCAGCTGCTGCTCGTCCTCCGCCTCGCGTACGTGGCCTTCCCGGCGCTCTACATTGTGTGGCCGTGGTTCCTTCTTTACGGCCTCTTTGTCCTCGGCGGTCTTGCCCACGTCTTTGTGTCGCCGGCCGAGAAGGACATTGAAAACGTCTCGGTCACCGTCTCGTACGGCACCGTCTAGGACGCTCATTGCTTTCCACCGAATACCAATATCAACTTATGTGCATGCTCGTTTAAATACTCGTCTTCCTGTGCGTCGCTTCTTGGCTGGCGGCGGTCTTCCAACTCTAAAAAACTCACGAACTCACGCTTTTCCCCCATGCTGTTCTGGGACAAAAGCTGTTGAACCCGACGGCAAGGCACCGACAATTCACTACAGCAGCGATCTGCCCACCGAAATTGTGGTGACCCACACCTCGCGACCCAAGAACGAGAATACGCCGTTATGGTACTGACAGAACCCCCTGTGGTATCGGAGGCAATCGACAGCGGATCAGCACGGTCTGGTCGAATAGGATAATAGGATCTGACACGGGCCGCACCCACAATCCACACAGATTCCAGACTTGGGACAATGACGGCTGCAGGAACGTGTATTGATACCAGAGCCCGCGTTTGTTGCCACAACAAGCGCTTCAACGAGCTATCGAGTTTGACGAGCGCTGACGCAACGTACAAAACGCTATCGCACGGCGTCGGAATGGAACGAGCTGCAGTGCCAGAACCACAACCGGCCTGCATCTTACCAAGGGTATATAATAAATTATTATATACCCTTGATCTTACCAACGTCAACATAAGTGGCGTGGGTTTAGACGACATCTGATTGGCCGAGCCAATGACACGCAGCGAATCTGCCAACGACGTCGCACTTCGCATTTTGCTTTTTGTCTCCAAGAAGCATGTCATCGCGCACGCTGCGTACAATGCAGAGCCTCGGGCGACAGAGCAGCCTCGCCGAGCTCCACGGCGAGGCGCAGAACTCGGGCGGCTTTATTGGCTACCTCACGACGACGGTCACCGACTTCTTCACGAGCCCGCACAGCGCGTGCATCAAATTCGCCGTCGTTATGGCTGGTATTGCCCTCACGCTGCCTGCGATCTTGTTTCCAGGTACCTACCTTCCTCGCGTCGATATGATGTGCTATACCAAGTTGCGACGCTAGTCTTTGTGAGCCTCAAAATCGAAGGCCACGTGCACTGGACATGGCTGCAGACGTTCATCCCGCTCTTCATCGTCACGGTCGTCTTGCTGCCCGTGTACATGCTCTTGACGCAAATCGACAACCCCAAGGTCGGCAACAACGACGATGATGGGCCGCCCGTGTCCAACGCCAATACCGACTGCCACGCCAACGACACCGCGGTCTTGCTCGCTGCCTCGGACGCCGAGAACCCGCCCCAGAAAATCATGACGTGGTAGAGTCGCTGCGTCGCCTGCCCGAGCGAAATCTCATGGGTCTACCTTAGGGGAAGTGTATTTACCTTGCTGTGCTCGCTGGTGGCGCACATTTTCATCGCGCTTCGCCTTGACGGGCACCTTGACTGGGCGTGGCTCTACGTGCTCTTGCCGTACTGCTTTGTCATTCTCGTTGACCGGTCGTCCTCGAGCGTCCTCCAAGTGCTGCAAGTCGTCTTTGTCGCCGAGAAGCTCGACGGCGCCCTCACGTGGTCCTGGCTCGTGGTGCTTTTGCCAACATGGCTGCCCCTCGCCGTCATGCTCATCGTCTTTGTACGTCGTCTCGGATTGGTAGCCAAGGTGCTGACAAATTGTTGCGTGAATGTAGCCTATTGGCGCCGCCTTTGCGGTGCTCATGTTTGCGGGCGACGACGACAGCCCATCATCGCCCACGCCGTGGTGCTTTGCGACATCGGTCTTTTTGGGCGTCTTTTCGTTCTTCGCCTTGGTCACCGGTCCGCAATTGCTGATCGTCCTTCGCCTGCAGTACTTGACGTTCTCGACCATGTGGATTTGCGTGCCGTGGATCATCATGTACAGCGTTGTCGTCGTCCTCGTACTATCGATCGATGACTATCTTCGGACACTGACGTCGTTGCGTGGTGTAGGCGACGCTAGCGGTCTTGATCCTTGCGTTCCACGGCAAACCGACGGCGTCTCTCCAGGAGAACACGCTGACCAGCGACTACGGCTCTGTCTAAATCGACGCCGTTTGCCTTCTCCTTGCAAGACTGTAAAAAGTGATTGCATTCAACTCTTGGCGTACGTCGTCAACGTATATTAGCCATGTTGGTCGCCGATCGCAGGGAGCTTTATGGTGTCATCCTTTCGCTACCCTTTTCGCTCCCTTCTAGTTGCCTTCTGCCTTCTAGTTGCCTTTTAGTTGGCTTTAGTTGGTTCTAGTTGCGTTCTAGTTGGCTCGTAGTTGGCTCTTGGTTGCCTTTTAGTTGCCTTTTAGTCGCCTTTTAGTCGCCTTTTAGTCGCCTTTTAGTTGCTTTTACAGTCAAAACGCGGATTAAAAACGACCTCGCTTCAGCAAATCACGAACAGCCAATCAGGGCTCTCGATCGAAAAATCTAACAAATCATGAGTCAATTTTTGGGGCTTCAGCCAATCGCATCGCTTCGATCGATTTGGACTATTTATTCCACATGGTTTTTGTTGGGTACACGACGAGGCACATGTAGAGCCTGCAGCTCTCAGCCATTTTGCCCAACTCTCTCTCAAGAGCTCAACACATGTATTTTACTCTCAAATAGCTCTCAACCGAGAGTAATTTAAGCTTTGTTTCAGTATACTATAGTAATGACCAGTGAGAGTATTTTAAGCGGGCTCATTGTATTGGGCATACAAAAATGGAATAAGAGTAACACGAGAGCTCGAGAGTTCGAGAGTAACAACGCCGTTTTATTGCCTAATTGTATGCAGCATACAGAAACGAAATGAGAGAAATCCGAGAGCTCGTTGAGAGCTTGCTAGGAACACCAGCGAACACAACCCAAAGCAGCGTCGCCAAGGTGTCATGTCCCTCAAGATCCTGAACTCTGACAAGCACGGCAGCCTGCTTCTCATCAAGCGTTGGACCAGAGGTCGCAACGATCTTGCTCATGTGCAAAGCCTCATGGTTCCGAGTGTACCTTGAGAGACGACGGCACGCCCATCTGTGTCCAAGGCTGGAGCACGGCCGACATCAAGCAATCGTACTGCCACGTGTGCGATGAACCGTTCAAGTATGACGCTAGTCGTAACCAAGTCTTTGCTCGACACGCACTCATGAAGCATGCCCACTCTCAAGCACCTACGGTTGGCCCTCCAGCGTCCTCCGCCAGCGGGGTCGTGGCTCACGCACCGGCAGAGGCCTCCGCTACGTCTCCTTAAGCTGGCTCGGAAATGGCTTGGCTGCTCAGCAACCTCGGCTCAACCGGAGCGCGTCTTCTCGGGCGCAGGAATAACCACGTCTGGCCGGCGTGCAGCGCTAGACCCCGACACAGTCAACGTTATCACTTTCCTCCACGATAATGCACCGTAATACACGAGAAGGAGCGTTTTGGAGTAATATTTGGTGCGCACGTGGTCAAGTAGCGAGATTTCCCTTCCCTCGAGGACTCTGTGGAGCTTGCTCGTTCATCACAACGCAACGCAGCGCTGTTTACACTGACCGGATAACTGTCCGGATAACTGAGAGCTCATTGAGCTCTCGTTACTCTCTCTCAGCTCTCAGCAACTCTTACTCTCTTCTCAGCTCTCAAACGCTGAGAGCTGCATTCTCTAGGCACATGGTCTTCGTCGACCTTCGTACTGGATTTCAACCAATCACAAAGCATTGAGAATGCCCCGAGCCCGAGAACCCGAGCAGGAGGTCTCCGATCGATTGCGCCCGCGACGCAAGCGCCTGACTGTGGACAAACAAGCCGAGATCGTCGAGCTTCTCAAGACAACGATGCTGTCTCATGAGGCCATCGGCAACAAGTACGGTGTGTCTCGGCAGACCGTGACAGCGATACAGAAACGCTCCAAATCCGTGCTGAAGGAAATGGAGTGCCTCCGAGGGCTCGCACGCACTGGCCGTGAGCACACCCGGCGCGTCCTCACGGCTCGACACCCTCTCCATCCCGTCGACTTGGCCGTCTATCGATGGTTGCAGCTCATCGAGGAGAACGGCGCTGAGCTCTTGGTGACGGGTGCGGTGCTCCAAGCTCGAGCTCTTGACTTCGCTGGCGCGCTCGGTTTTCCGGCCTTCAAAGCTTCGAACGGCTGGCTGCAAAACTTTACCAAGCGCATTGGTGTGCACTCTAGTGTACGCTCGGGCGAAGCAGCGTCACTGCTCATCACGACCGATGTGCAGCACCGTATCAACGCCATCATTACAGCTCTCGTCGGCCCGGCGCCCTCGCCTCAGGAGCGCGATAATTCCGTCGACAACTCTTCCGATCGACCGCTGCGCGCAGCAACGATCGACGTCCTATCAAGTCAGCGTGCGCTGTCAGCGAGCGAGAGCCTGCGTGAGTACTTCGCATGGTATGAAGACGACGACATGCTCGCCAAGCTCAACGCCATTGTCCAACGCATCGAGGCCAACGCGAGCCACACGACGCCCAGCGCGGTCTTTTACATTCGAGCTCATTCCCAAAGCGGCATCATGTGACATTGAATAAACTTGTTTTTTGTATACATTCGAAACCATGTGATATAGCCCCTCTGTCCAGGTTCGTTGTACAGCTCGTTGTACTGTATTGACGTCAACGACGCAGCGGTCCTACTTTTTGTGAACCTCAAGATGCAAGGTCGCGTGCAAATATTTGTTCCGCTCTTCATTGTTCATTCACGTGGTCTTGCTGTGTGAGAATGCAACGACGCATGGAAGCATTTCAGCTGCCAGAAGCAGCAGCAGTGAGTGACCTTAGGATTGTCGATGATCTTCTCAGGAGCACGTATGCTCGTGTCAATCGAAACTTGCAGCGACAACTCATATGACCTGTCCCACATGCACTGACGTGCTGCGTGGGGACGTTTTCTTGATCGCTGAATCATTGCCGAATGTACGTCGGTTCAAGTTTGCACCTTGAATTGCGTTGGTTTAGTGACATGCATACGTCAAAAGCTACTGCACACTACGACCACACCACTACGGAGTGGCACCTTGCGGTAAGGTGCCTGCCCCATCGACATTTTCAAAAAGGCATGGCGCCAACAACAACGTTCACGCGCGAGGGGTCGTACGCCAAGTTCTCGGAGGCTGCGAAAGCGCGGCACGGCCCGCTTGGGTACATGGCCCGCGGCTACGAGAAGCTTTTGCAGCAGTCCAAGACCTTGTGCGTGCGCCTGAGTCTCGTGCTTGGCGGTCTTTTGCTGCTCTTGCCCGCCGTTTTGACCCTGCGTACGGGCTTTTCTCCTCCCGTACATCTACAATGGCGACTCATGTCTTCTTAGTATTTATCTGCTGGAAGGTCGACGGTGTGATCGACTGGAGCTGGGCCACGGTGCTGGTGTTTGTATGGATGTACGACGTTCTGGCCTGGTACGCAGGATTTGTATCACTCGAAAGGCACGACCTCGTTTTCTTGGTTAGCAACGGCACGCTCGCGTGGCTCTGCGGCTTTCTCTTGCATCTGTTTGTGGCGCTGCGCCTGGATGGGCACGTCGACTGGTCCTGGATCTGCGTCTTCATCCCGTCCTTCGTCGCGATTCTCGACTGGAGTGGCTCGAGCGATGGCTGCTATGCGCTCCAGCTCATTTTTCTCGGGCTCCAACTCGATCACACGGTCACGTGGTCGTGGCTCGTTGTTTTTATCCCGACGTGGGTGCCGTCAATCATCGGTGGCCTCATCTTCGTACGTCGATCGATGACGTCGTACCTCGCTGGACACGACTGTAGATTGTCTTCGTGTGCGCCGCGTGCTTCTCCGATGCCTCGTCGCGACTGAGTGCACTTGGCTTGAGTCTTTTGGCGTGTCTCGGCTTTGGGCTCCTCGTCGCACCCCAAGTTTTGCTCCTCGTCCGCCTCGGGTCGGCAACGTTCTCGACCGTGTACATTGTTTTGCCGTGGCTCATTCTCTTCGGTCTCGTGATCCTTGTGGTATATAGTATCGCCGGCAATGGATTGATGAATGACGACGACGACGACTTGTGTAGGGCATTGTCGCAGCCATGGTGCTGGACTTAGACGACTTTACGAGTGGGCCAGTCACGACGCCTATTGAAGAAGAAGCCTAGTGCGCTCGCAAGCGAGATGCAGGTCCAGAGAGCCGCCTGCATGCAACAAACGCAGTTGTTTACATTGAATACAGTATTTTATAAATTCTTCGCAGCCAACACAAGCGTGGAGGCAGTATCGACAGTGCGGTATCGAAATCCTGCACATTTTTGCGATTTTCTGGATTTGATCAAATTATACATCATTTTGCGTGTGGATAAAAGGAGTGAACGACAGAAATTTCTTGCGGTATCAAGGACCGCACCAACGGTGTAACAAGGGTAGACAGTAGCATAATGAAACCAAGAGCACACGTGAAGGGTGGCCCCTTGCTCGTTCGCAGCCCACTGCGTCTCGTCCGAGCCCAATTCTAGGTGCCAAGGGAATATTTATTCCCTTGCTAGGTGCTTACCCAGAGCGGCACGCTGATAACGATAGGACGGCAGCAACCGCGATGGTCAAGCACAGTTGGTTCACACCGAAGAATTGGTGGCGCGGCAGCCTCCCACGTCATTGCAGTGCCACCATAATATCGCCAATGCTTGCATTCCACACGACCCCATCAATCCAGCTCCTTGAAGCACGGTGCACGTACAACCCCTGGCAACCCTGAGGAGCAACCACGCACAATAGAAGTGCGCAGTTTTCCATGTGTCGCAACAACCACCAACCAGCCCAAGCTTCACAACCTTGCATTCCCCCAAAGATATGACGACGATCGGATCGACGCCATTCCAGAGCATCGAGAGCACTGGCGCCGACGTCGCAACTGAGCTTCCTGCCGACGAGCGCGGGCCACTCACCTACCTGTTTGACTGGTTCATAAAGGCCTTGTCCGACGCCGACTCTGCTTGCACCAAGCAAGGGGTCTTCGGTCTTGGCCTCCTCCTCCCACTTCCCGCCCTCCTCACTGCCTGTACCTTTGGAAAAAGGGCAAAAGAACCTCATGCTCGGATGATGTGTATAGTGTGCATAAGCTTCAAGGTGGACGGCAAGATTACTTGGCAGTGGAGCACAATCTTTGTGCTTGTGTGGATCGTGGACGCCGCATGCCTCGTCTTCTGCATTCGAGCCATTCCCAGCTGGCCGGGTGCTACAAAGGCAACGCTCTCGCGAACCATGTACGCATCGTCCTCCGAATTTTGGAACCGTCCTGATGCGTCGGGTAGCGCCCACTTGGCCATCAACATCGGCATCACGATGCACCACGTCTTCATCGCGCTACAGCTCGATGGTCAGATTACGTGGGGGTGGATCTGGGTCTTCTTCCCGTTCGTCGTCACAACATTGCCCGAGCACGCGACCCTGTTCACAATCGTTGCGTGGGCTCAAATGGTGCTTCTCGCCCCGCGCCTTGACGCTGCAGTCCTCTGGTCTTGGCCCGTCGTCTTTTTGCCCCTGGAGCTCTACGCGATGGGCAGCCTCGTCTCCTGCGTATGTGGTCGATTGCTATGGATCGACGAATAAGCACTACTACGCTGGATAGGTGTATTACACGCCATGCAGTACCGAGCGTCCACCGCTGACGGTGGCGATGGCGTCACTGACAGCTTGCACGCTGTTGCTTGTGGCGCCACTGGGCCTGCTTCTGGCACGGCTCGAGGGATGTGAGTTTCCGACCAGCCGCCCTCTGGTGCCGTGGTTTCTTCTCTATGGCTTTCTAATGCTTTGGGTATAGCGTGCATACTCGTACCACATTAAGCTCATTGTCGTCTGGGGGTAGGGCTTTGTCGTCGCGCTGCACAAGGATGCAGACATTTTGTATGGTGCCGTTTTCGCAGCACGTGGCATGCGCGCAGCGTAAAATGGAATAACAT